ATATATGTCTATTTTCTGTTGGTTTTATAGAGATAGTCTATGCATGAGAACATATATGTGAGATTTATAGAAGAAATTTAATAATTGTTCCAGGAAGCAAGCAGAGCTAAGTGATACAAGATTTTTTTTTTTTCATTTTATTCACTTGGATAAAAAATGTATTATATTGCCTATAGAATTTTGAGATCAGAATAAAAATGCCTCGGAAATTAACTTTTGGGGACCTTATATGTATACATCTGAAGGCTCTCTTCATTCCTTTCATTTGCAGCTTCAGAATCAAAGTTGCTATCGGTAGGAGAGAACATTAATATCATATTTAGCGAGAAAGTATTCATTTACATATAAATGATTTTAACTTAAGTCTCTTTGGCAAATAAAACATTTATCACTGTTTTCCAGTTAGAGATTTCATAGAATAGTATTACATAAGTGTTTTAATATTCCATCTTGAGGATTTCCTTATTTGTAAACTAATACTTTTCCTAGTTTACAAGATGGAACAATATCAGATTTATCGAAGAGGAAAAGCTATGTTAGAACTCTAAGACCTTCCTAATGAAATGTATTTTTCCTGTCAGTGTTTAAATCTTACAAAGAAAAGTAAGCCAATATAATATTATTGGCAACTTTTTAGACTTCCCCAAGAGAGTTTTTTAAAAATCCAAACCTGAAATTGCCAAGACCAGCTTTTAGAATCTTTCGTTTGACTACATCCCAAATTTTGGGCTAACTTTGTATCATTCTCATACACACTGAGTACTGATAATAGCTGTTTTATCTCTCTGTGTGGATTAGGGCTGTTAAGTGCTGTGAGTCACTGTTGCATTTACATAGGGAAAATCATTCTCTGGAGCTGGGCAAGAGAGTGGGAGGCAAGAATTCCTTTGTTTATTTAAAATCTTGCTTTTTTTCCCACCTGAAAATAGAAGAAAAAAAAAAAAAAGAATAATTTGCTGTGAAAGTAGTATTTCTTCCTGGATCCAAGAGATAAAAACTAGGTATGGCAGAAGATCTAATGTTTTCCTCTTAATTGAGCTTTCTCTTAATGCTTAAAATATGATGAACTAATCAATGGGCATAAAGTTTCAGTTAAACAAAATGAATAATTTTTAGAGATCTACTATACAACATTGTGCCTACAGTCAACAGTTACTGCGTGTGTGCTCACATATTTAAGAAGGTAGATCTCATATTGTATTCTCACCACAATAAAATTATAAAGTAAATATCTTTTAAATCTGATGGTTGGTTGCCATGGTATCTCCGTTAGTTAAATAGAAAAAAGAGCACAACTGAAAGCGTATCATTAAATTCTGACCCTCAGAGCAGAGATAACGAATGTTAAAGCGATCTCAAACACCCATTCGTGGGAAGAAAATATGGGAAGCTGATATTTTTCAAGTGAATCATGAGTGCACTTGATCTATTTAGGTGGGCAGATCAACGGAAAGCCCTATCGACTTCGTCGTGACAGACACAATTTCTGGAAGTCAGAACAACGATGAAGCCCAGATCACACAAAGCACCATATCCAGGTTTGCCTGCAGGATCGTGTGTGACAGGAATGAACCTTATACAGCACGGATATTCGCAGCCGGATTTGACTCTTCCAAAAACATATTTCTTGGAGTAAGTGCTATTAATTAATGAGTTCATTGTTCTAAGAAAAACATCCATTATTATGACATAGAAAATTGGAGCAGAGAAATTTACTTTGTGTGTTGCCTCTAGTTAGATTTTGAAATTTTAGTTTTCAAGTAGCTAGTTTGAAAAGCTGTCATTAAAAATCTGAAAATTATTAAAGCATTACTTATATTTGTTATAATATGTACAGTAATTACTTTGTTTAAAGTATGTGTATTAACATTGTGTATAATGTATTTATGGTAGTTAAGAAGTTTATTTCAGAGGGAAAAATGGCCAATTCTAGATCAGAAGGACTTAAAGGAAAATGTTAGTGAATTATTTATTCATGGAAAAATGTTGTATTGAGTGTTTGCTGTGTTTGCTACTGGTTGTTATCAATATAGTATCACAGAGAAGAAAACAGATTAAAAACCCCTGCCTTTGTAGGGTTCCCTTGTAAAAAAACTCAAAAGTTTTAGTGAATATCCAGTTTTAATATAGTTCTCTTTTGAATTGGGATATTCTTGCAAGAAAAAAGAAAACTCTCAAAATGGTCTGAAGTAAACAATAAATAAAAAAAAATACTGTACCCCATAATAAGAAGCGCCGAGGAAGGCCAGCTCCAGGGTTGAGTGACTCAGTGGCTCTACGACATCCAGGGCCCCGGGTTGTTCTGCTGTCTTGCCCTCTGCCACCTGTAGCGTACCAGCTTCCTTGGGAGAGGTCTTGCCACGGGCCAAAGCTGGCCACTGCACTTCAGACGTCCCCTAACATTTGGCAACTTCCAGCCGAAGAAGAGGTGGCAGAGACGCTGTTTGTTCCTTGTCTCTTCTGAGAGCAAAGACTTCTTTGCCTGAAGCCTCCAGAAGACATCACCCGTATCTCATTGGCCAGAACCCAGTCACGTGCCCACCCCTGAACCAGTCATCAGGGAGGGGCGGGAGGTGTGGTGTTGGTTGTCCCTAACCAGCATCTACCCCCAGTCAGGTGACTAGTCTGGGCTCCATCACCAAGGTGGAGGTGGGGCTGTGGTGCAGGCACCAGGACTGTCTGTCCTGCCGTCATGTCATGCTGCTCACGCTGTCCACCTTCGAGGGTGTAATTGGTGTTAAAACATAATGGCCACAACTTGTTGGCTTTACATTTTTGAGTTTTGTACCTTTAACATGAAGTCATTTTTTTGTAATGACCGTTCTTTCCCAATAACAAGTACACGTAAAGCATTTTTGGACTGTAGGATAAGAGCACCATACAAGTACAACTGAAGAAAGAGAACATACTAGATTCTTGGAGCCACACGGGGGTGTGGGGAGGGTAGAAAGAACCCCTGAGGAAGAAACACAGGCATCAGTTTTTTAAGCTCTTGAGATGAATATAATGTGTATCCAGTGACAAATCATTCATCTGTTTTAGCACTTCTTTTATATTGTCAGAATAATTGCATATTTTATCCTTGTGATGATTAGCTTTAGATAGAAAATGAAAATTTGTCACTTTCCTCCCCTCTGCTCCTACAATATTTTAAAGAAATTCCAGAATCCCTTCAGCTTGAAGGCCATCTCAGCAATCGTTTTCTGTTCCATGTTGTGTTCTCCAGGAAAAGGCAGCAAAATGGAAAAACCCCGACGGCCACATGGATGGGCTCACTACAAACGGTGTCCTGGTGATGCACCCAAGAGGGGGCTTCACCGAGGAGTCCCAGCCCGGGGTCTGGCGCGAGATCTCTGTCTGTGGGGATGTGTACACCTTGCGAGAAACCAGGTCGGCGCAGCAGAGGGGAAAGCTGGTGAGTGGGCTTCACTCTGGAAAATGTACCAAACTGCAAAAACCTAACTCGAGGACTGTCATCCCTCACTGCAGTTCATAACCTTTGTGTGGATACGAGCGCCATGTACCATAACCTAGGAGAACGGGGATTCTACAAGCACCTGAGAGTTGGAGGGCAATGGCCTTATTTCCTTTAAGCTTGTCTCATCTTGGAAGTAAATTATCTTTGCTACTTACCACCTTAAGAGCATAATCTTTTATTATATACCTCACCACAAAATTCTACTGAAATTCACTGTAAGGAGAATAAACTTATTTTTATTGTAAAACTTGGCTGAGTTGGAAAAATCCTGAGCTAAGACCAACTAGCGAAAATTATGAATTAAAGAATTTTTTACTAGACTTTCTGGAACTAAGACATAATTAAGTTAGCTTTTTTTCCTTGAGTTCATAGTCATAAATTAATACAAAATTCTCTATGTTTTCCACCGAAAAGATAGTTAAAACTTTTATTTACGATTCATATTCTACATTGACCTGCCTTATTAATATCTTCCTGTAAATATCACCATTTAGCATCATGTCCTAAAGCAGTTGTTTTTTAACCCTTTCTTCTGTGAAGAATAATTATAATACCTTAAATGGGAAACTTTGGGTTTCTGAGTTTGCCACAGCCATGTGGCACAGCCACTGAAAGATTCTTAGTAAACTGTCCATTCCCGTGCTTTTGATTATTGGATAGAAGCTAGAACAAGAGAACAAATGTCTTTTTCTAGAAGCTAGAAAAGAGGGAGTTCTTCACAACTCCTTTAGAAAAATGTATAGGGAATAGAGGATGCAACCTAGCACTTTCCAGAGAGAAAGAGGGTCACCGAATATTTCTAAGCAAGAAAAAGAAGACAGGGGACTGTTTCACTAACCTGGTTTGCTGTTCCCACTGGGTGGCTTTGTTCAGGGAATTGTTACTTTTATATCTCTTTTATACTGGTATTTGGCTACGGGCACAGCCTCTCCATTGTATAGTAAAGCCTCGTCTTGGAGCATCATGACCGAATAAAATATGAGAAGCACTTTCTAAGAAAGGCCAAGCACATTCAATAAATTGTGGTTAAACATTTTCAAGAAATTGTAAATAGGGAAGGAAATGTGAAAGCAGTTTTTCCAAATAACTATTTCTGATCATCGGATAGTCTTACACAAAACTGACCTAGACTGGCTGAACTGGTTATTCATCGTCATAATGGCAAGAGTACAGAGTCAGTAACTGGTTGCTGGGCGCAGGCATCAGTTCACTTAATCTGCACAGCAGCCCTTTAAGGGAAGCAGAATCATCCCCATTTCACGGATGAGGGCAGTGTGGCATAGAGAAGTCAAATACTGCCCAGTGTCACAGAGTTAGACGGTGACAGCAGATGGGATTCAAACTCAGGTCTCCCTGATGGAGAGTCTAGATACCTAATTATTACTCTGTACCATCTTATGGGGAGCCACACGGCTGTCACCTGAAATGGTTTACACCAGGGCATTTGCCTCCCTGGGTGAGTGTGACGCACACACAGGAATCCGTGAGATGCTTGTTTGTCCAGGAGGGCATGTCACAGGGTGAGTTTCTTGTCCACACTGGTTATTGTTTGTGTAGTGACCCAGCTCAGACAGCTGTGTGTGCCAGAGAATTTTACAATGCTACTGAAAAGAAAGAACTCCAAAAATGGCTTGTATTAATGGGTTGTATTAAATACAGAGACTAATTTTGAAGTTAGTCCCTGTGAGTGACACTTAGATTTATGTGAAATTGTGCTGTGCTGTTCAATAGCATACTGTTAACCTGGCCAGTAAGAAGGGTTTCCGTCAGTCTGATCTTGGGCTTGTGGGAGACTCTGAACAGATACATCCTCTGCCATCTCCTCCTGTTAAACCTCTGGGGAACAGTTTGTCTCTGCCTGCAAGGAAAGACTACTGATTGAGCTTCTGTTTCAATTCATGGCTCTTTGGTCCTATACATGTTGCTGGTAGCATTTGATATAAATTATATCTCTATGGAGATTAGATTCTGGGGATAGTCTCTGGCAGTACTTGTCATTTGCAGTCTAATAGAGAAATATGGGAAATAAAGTGAGCTACTGAAAGTCCCAAAATATTTGTTTGTTATAACAGTTGTAGATGCCCCTGGTTCTTACAGTGTGGAGCTAGTACCAGTGGAAGATTATGTATTAATATCGTACTCAGCATTTACTACAAATTAATACACTAGCGTGTTTTTAACAAATTACCATGGTTTTTTAATCGTTACAACAAATGATGGAACCTTAGTACTTTGTTTAATCAACGAAATTAATTAAATGTTGGAGAAATGTCTTTTTAGGCGCTTAACCCCCCCCCGAATAAATAAATAGGTGAATGGACTTCGAGTTGTGTCCTACTCATTTAGCTAGTTAACGACAACATATGGTAACATTTATAATACTCTAGGAGTCTAAGAGTCCCTTGAGTATTTTATTAAATTATATTTGAAGTATTTTATTAAACTATACTGGCTTTGTATAAAATTAAGTAAATTTGGTTAAATAGATTTGCTTACCTAATTTTAGGTAACATTATAAAAATAGCAATAGAGTTACTATGTGCAGGCTCTACAAAGTGCTTTGCATTAATTCTCTTTCAGGTGTTGCTTAAAACAACCATGAGGTCAGTGTTATTATTGTTCCCATTTACGGATGAGGAAACCCGAGTTTTAAAGCGTTAGTCACTTACTAATAAGTGGTGGATGGGGGTTTGATGTCTCTACATTGTGCTTAGTTGATATGTAGGGGCCATTGTGTTTTAACTGTCTCTTCCATAACAGACTCAGTCTCTGTGCCTGCACTTAGCTTCTCTTTTTTAGTAGAATTTAAAAAATAAAACCTGAATCCATGCTTCTACACAGTGGCTAAGAGTGTATCTTCACCATGCGACCTCCTGCATACTGTATTCTAGAGAAAAACTACACGTTTTGTTCACAGGTAGAGATAGCACACAAGAAATAAAAGTTAAGAGGGGAAGCAGGCTAATTTTTGAGCAGCCATTATATGTTAATGGTTTCAAAATCAGGCTACCAGGTGTAAGTCCTGGTTTCACAACTTAGTAGATCTGTGGTCTTGAATCAGTGACTTACCTCTGTGCCTGGCTTCCAAATCCATTAAATTAGAGTAATACTAGTACATATCTTGTAGGATTGTTGTGAGAACTAAGTCAGTCCAGTACCTGGAAAGGAGTAGATCAGTGCTGTACACAGTAATGCTCCATAACTGGTTAGTTGTTTCTACAAAGCAGAGGCTAGGAGCTGGGATCTGACAGTGAACACCAGCCAAGTCCAGGGCTCTGCCCTCAAGCTGTGTAGTCTGGAGAAAGTTGCAGATTAGGCAGCAAATCATTAGATCAGCAGATACTGTGTGATGAGCACAGTCGTAGAGACAGTACTTAAAGGTACAAGAGTCCCTCGGAGAGACCTGCCCTAGACGTGGAAGTCAAGGGTACGGGGAAGATAAAAGACCACAGACCCCACATTTATGATAAGACTTTGTTATTTAGCAAGAACTGCCCTACAGGGAGGAAAGAGGGAGTTGTCTAACAGCCAGAGGCGGGGCCACCACCAAATCTCAGTTTCTTACCACATCAGGATTGTTCTTTAGACACAGCTACATCCTGAGCTGAGACCTCCTCTGAGGATAGCCTGTGGTCAGCCAGGGAGGAGAGCTGGAGTATTCCCAAGGGGGACTACGGGGTACTCAGCATGGCATTGGGGTGGGGAGGGGGCTTCAGCAAACTTACAAAAGGCTGTTTGGAAGGGGTCATAATGTTTGTCCTGTGCAGTATTAAGATTTATCATTTTATTGGGACTTTAACTTTTTCTAACTGCTTATATTTGATACTTTCTTATTAGGAAGGGGCTGATTTCTCCAATCAGGGGAAACTTCCAGGGCAAAGTGACATCCCAGTGAGACCTGAACGATGAGTAGGAGTTCGCCAGCTCAGGACTCGAGCTGAGGGGGTGGGAGGGCTGCATTCTAGGCAGAGGCTGCTCTTGTGCCTGCTGTGGGCAATCCAAGTCTGTGAGTTCATGGGCTCCACTCCCTCCAGCTCAGTGTAGGGCAGCCCTGGTTCACAGTAAGAAAGGGAAGAGTTACAGCTAGAGAACTTGAGTGGCCACATTGGAAGTGACCTTTTAAACATGTTAAGAAGTTTGAGCTTTATCTTGAGGGCAGTGGAAAACCAGTGAAGTCCTTTGAACCAAATATTGACATTTCTGGTTCTTTCCATTCCTCCTTCTTTCCTTCACACAGTTCTTTTTCTCTGCCCCAACCTTAATGGAGTGCACCCCTGGCTCTGTGCTCAGTCCTCTCTGCCGCTCGAGGACACTGCCTGGGCAGTCTCATCCATTCCCATGGCTTCCCCTAGGCGCCGATACATCCTAGATGTATCTCCCAAGCTGATCTGTCTCCCATGCTGCATTCACACGTGCCTGGTGTGCACGGCCACTCCAGATACTCTGCACAACCCTCAGGTTCAGCACACCCAAAACTGAACTTACCTCTCTTTTCCCCATAGTCTGCCATTTCTCCTTTATTTCCCTGGCTGTGTGGAAAGCCCGACTCTACCTAGACAGCCAGATATATAAAAGTCTTTCTTCCTCAAATCAGGAGCTAAGTGCCACCCAGTCCAATTCCCTGCCATCCAATCTGGGCACCTCGTGCCCATTGCCATGTATACCCTCTGTGTAGAGGTGCACCCACCCTCTCTTCCTAGAGAGAAAACCCAGCTGTCTCCTCTACCACTGGTCTTACACCCTTCCAATCCATTCTCCAAACTTCTACAAGTGACCTTTTTGAAAGGCAAATCAGTTCTTTTATGGCTGCCTAAAGCCAGCCTTGCCCTCCAGCCTGGGTGTCTGTCCTGCCCACCCAGCACCCTGAGCTCCATCCAGCCTTGTTCAACTACCAGTTCAGCCTCATTGAACTCTTGCTGTTCCCTCGGTGTACTTGCTGTGTGCCTCTCCTGCCTTTTCCTGGTGTGCCCCCCTTCCACCCTGCCTACTGACTCCTGACATCTTTTTCAAGTCTCTATTGAAGGAAAACCTTTTAGAAATCATTTCTGACTATCGTCATCAAAGTAACAGTAGCAAATATTTACCTAGTATTTACTGCGTGCCAGATACTATTCTAAGAACTTGATATTAACTTATCTAACATAACCACCTTATCTCAATTTTACTAAGGAGAAACGGGTACAGGGAGCTTAAACGACCTGCCCAAGGTCACACTGCTAGTAAGTAACAGAGCCAGGGTTCAAACCCAGAGTCCACGCTCCCAGCCACTGCGGTGCCACGGCCTCACACGGCGCTTCTTGACCTTCCCTCACTCCCGGCTCTAGGCATGTCCGCCTCCCACTGCAGAAGAGCAGGTCTCAGCAGGATGGGAGAGAGGTTTCCTGGGTCTTTGTTACCCCTGAGGCTTAGCACACATCCAGCACGTGGAGGTGATGGGCAGATTCTTGCTGACCATGCCTATCTCTGCCTCTTGTCAGCTGCTAATCAGTCTTTTAAGCACTTGATATGTAGCACAGACGTCCTTCTAAAAAGGAAGACTTATATTGAACTGTTCAGCTTCAAACCTCTGGAATGAAGGATGAAAGATGGATTTGAGGTGTGGAGGAAGCAAAGGGTTACCAGGAGTGTTTCGGATCACTGCTGTAATGATTACAGGGCCCCAAGGGTCTTCTAGACTGGCTCTGGTCGAAATAAGAATGAGTCTTCACTGGATTAACTGTTTGGACATCTCTCCCATCCTCATGAGATCAGTGAGTAATTATGTTGCCAATTTAAGGAGTTAAAAATAAAAATCTAAGATGAATGTGTGAAGTTCATTAAAATAACCCCTACGTTAGTTGAACATGTAAAGCTGGGTATATTGTGCTCAGGGCTTTGTACGTGTGGCAGGTATGTATTATATCCAGCGTTTAAATGAGGAAAGCAAGGCTCAGAGAGGCTGGGTTACTCCCCGTCCTATTTTTAATGGGACAAATCACCTCCCTGTGTTGTCTTCAAAGATGGTTTTTTGGTTATTTTGAGAGGAAAGAATGTTGGAGTGACTTGCTCGAGAGATTTGCTGGACTTTGCTTTTAAAAGGTGTGTCTCTCAAACTTACAGGTGGAAAGTGAGACCAACATCCTGCAGGACGGCTCCCTCATTGACCTGTGCGGAGCCACGCTTCTCTGGAGAACAGCAGATGGCCTCTTTCATACTCCGACTCAGAAACACATAGAAGCCCTCCGGCAGGAGATCAACGCTGCACGGCCACAGTGTCCCGTGGGGCTCAACACCTTGGCCTTCCCCAGCATCAATAGGAAAGAGGTGGTGGAGGAGAAGCAGCCCTGGGCTTATCTTAGTTGTGGCCACGTGCACGGATACCACAACTGGGGCCACCGGAGCGACACAGAGGCCAATGAGAGGGAGTGTCCCATGTGCAGGACTGTGGGCCCCTACGTGCCCCTCTGGCTCGGCTGCGAGGCGGGATTTTACGTAGATGCAGGACCGCCAACTCATGCTTTCACCCCCTGTGGACATGTGTGCTCAGAGAAGTCTGCAAAATATTGGTCTCAGATCCCGTTGCCTCATGGAACTCATGCATTTCATGCCGCCTGCCCTTTCTGTGCGACGCAGCTGGTCGGGGAGCAAAACTGCATCAAATTAATTTTCCAAGGTCCAGTCGACTGATGCCCTTGACAGCCATCTACGACTTTATTAACAAGTTACTGTGAAGATTTTGCCACTAACTCTAGATTTTACCTTTTTGTAATGCTGTTTATTAAGGGGAGGGGGGACTAGGGCTGGGACAAAAGAGGGGACACAGTGATGAAACATGGCAGGAGTGTAACAGATACCAGCAGTGTGTTGCATGCTCATAACAGCGGCATCGTCATTGAAGTCTGCTTGATTAAACCGTAATACCTTTGTAATGATTGGATTTTAAATGCCATGCTTTTATTTTTAACCTTGGGTTTTTAACCAGGTTTTTTCCTTTTTAAACTTGGACAAGACTTTAAGTCATATTTTACAAATGTAGAAGAAATTTATTCAAAAGTTGTTGGCACTTAACGTGCAGCCTTCAGTGCTGCATGGTATAGGCGTTACCTGAAAGACATGCGGTGTCTGGAAATGCTTGATACTAGCTAGACTCTGACCAGATACCAAAGGGACGGCTCTATACAATGTGATTGGTGCATAGGAGACCTTAGGCACAGGTGGTTGTTTTGGAATCTGGGGCTTTTTTCTGGTTTATTATTCTTTCTTTTAGGGGGAGAGAATATTCATATACTGTGGGCTTTTTTTTAACTTTAGCAGAATTTACTTTATACACTCATTCATCAAATACGTGGCATTTCAAACAAAGAATTTTCCATAACTTTTTAGTCTGCCTTTTTTTATTTCTGCCTAATGTGATTTGTCACTGATACTCATCTTTCATGGCCAAAACTGTTTGGTTGATGAAAATATGTCAGCTCTTAAAATTTAATTAACTGAGGATAATTACGACAGCAGTAGACATGGCCTAGGTACTAGACTACCAAGTTTATTTGCTTACTGAACTGTTTTAAGATTTAAGGATGATTAAAAATAAGCTTTTACTTTTTAAAACCACTTGTTGGGGTTTTGTAAGGTTTATAGGTTTTTTTTCTTCCTTAAGAAAGCCAAATTCTGTGAGCCTAAAAACAACAGATCACAATGATGCAGTCATTTTTGTTCACTCCCTCACCACCATCTGCCACCTTCCCTTGCAGCTTACATAGCCCTGTAAGTTTTGAAAATGTTTGCAAATCAAACTAAATTTAAATGTGATCATTAGATATACACAACACCAAGTGGTACATCTGCAGAGATCATTTGAAATTCTTGATTTTGAGCGAGCAAATGAGTGTTTACTGAGGAATAATTAAATCGGAATTTCAGATGAGCTCCTCCACCCCTCTCTGTTAGTTTCATTTCATCTGATTAATAATTCTCAGATGCTCATTCTCTGTGCTCAGTACCAGTAGCATCACCGCTCCCAGAATATGCAGATCCTTCAGGACAGGAGACTGGTAGCAGCTGGCTGAGATAAAATGAATCCCTGCCACATGGAGCAAGTATTTATTTAAACTAACATTCTCTTAAATTGACTATTGCAGATTTGGGTGACCTTTTTTTTTAACCTTTGTAAATATATATAATTTATATGATTCTAATATACTATATCCATACTTGAATTGGTTGTTCCATGTTTTGCCTCCTGGCAGATATTTTGCCTATTTGCAGTCATTCTAACCTATTTGAATACCCTTTTCCTTAAAATGATATGATTGCTGCTGTTTAATTTGACTTAGTATTTTAAAAGTTCAGCCTCTCAGTTTTAAAATAGCTTTATTTTTCAATGGAGATCGTTGTTTAGGATGAGGCGTTTTCGGTTTGGTTTGGGGTAATTTTTAAACGATGTGAAAATTCAACAACAGTCCTCTTACTGACAGCTTCCTCTATTCTGTATAGCTTACCCTACCTGCAGACAGAAAATGAAAGAAAAAAAAAAAAAAAAGGACTTGCCTAGAATAATATATTGAATGCCTTTTGATTTAGCCGGAATCTCCAATGATTAGCTTTCACTGATAGAGTATATCTTTTCAACTTGTGATTCTTTGGGCTCCAAAGAATGATAAAGGAGGCACTTGGTCATTTTCTTATGTGGCTAGAAGATGTGGCTTAAGAGTTCTTGATCCCTTAAAAACATCTTATAAGCTAAGTGGTCTTGCATCCAAACAGGCTGGATTTTACCTACCAAAAAAAAAAAATTTTCCAGAAAGTTATGCATATCATAATTTTCCATTTCAAAAACTATATATAAGTCTAGTAGTTCTGCATGTGACATGTGCCCAAAAATAAAGTTACCTTCCAACCTGAAAAGTCTCAGACTTTTAGTGAACTCAGATACCTTAAGTGTAAGTTGAAATTTGGGCGGTGATTTCCAAGCTCTTGGAAGAGGTAACAGTGAACCGCCCTCTGTCCACTCGGTATCTTTTCCTCTGGCTTCCAAGTGAGGTCGCCTCCCACCCTGCCTAAGGAACCGCAGAGAGGTGGCAAGTCTGCAGAAAGGAAACCATGCTAGTCTTAGCCACTTGTATGTAGTAGGATCCCTTTACAATTTTGACTAATGAGATTCCTTTATAATCTTTTTCCAGAGTTGAAAGCAATTCAATCTGTGAGAATAAAGAGCTCTAACTCACCAAAGTAGAGTAGTATAATTCAGAAACGTTAACTTCCGAAAGGTCACTTCTGTTTTTATTCTTGCTTGCCATCACATTAAAGGATGAGTCCCACTCCCCTGTATGTATACATAAGGAAATTGCTGACGAATTATCTTGATCTCAGTCTGACTAAAATGCCTTTTGTAAGTAGGTTTCCATAAGTAAAGCCCCAGTGATGTATTCCCATAGAAATATTACTTTTTTCAGTTGTTTATGTGAGTTTACTACAAAAAAAAAAAAAAGATTCAGAGTGGATGGAGTACAACTCTGAGTATTTTTCTAGTCTGGAATTTTTTATTAATAATCGGTGCTGCCGGGTCATGCATGCTGCAACTCTCAACATTTCCCTTATTTGGTACAGCTTTTCGCAAAAAGGGCTACAGCTCACACTGCAGAGAAAAGTATTAAGTTTTCTGGATTTTTTTTTCCCTAACTGTGGCCCAAAAGAATTAAAATTTGTTAATATAAATAGAGAGCATATTTATCATTCCTCGATAGTTAATTATAGAGTTTGGTAACTTTGTGCCTCAGGGAAGCCATGTGATATATAACTGGTTATAGAATTTCAGGGTTAGGGTTTAAAGAAAGGAGAAAGCCATTGGAAAAATGATGGGCTTCATTAAGGAGACTAATGAATCTGTATGCAGAAATGTGCCAGGAACTGGCATAAACATGATTGTAGTAGAATTTATTTTCCAGAACCAATAGGGAAATTATTTTAAGTTATTACATATACTGTATTAGGAAAGTTGAGGAGAACTCCTTTCTTCATAAAGCTTCAATGCCTTTTATTTTTTTTTGCTTTCACAGAAAAACTCAAACCTCTGTTATTTGGGAGCTCAGTATTGTTATTCGGGCACTTTTGAGAGTTTAAAGCATGTTTTCTACTTAATTTAAGTGTAATATAGGTTATATAGAATTGTTACCTGCAGTTCTATGATTTTTCTCAACTTTTCTTTTTTGAAGCCATTCTGTTCTTTGGATGTGCATGAAAGGGTGTGTGATCGCACCATTGTAAATGCTGGGTGAAAACTAGTTATCTTCATGCAGTCTTGCCTCATAACAGTGGAACTTCTGAAAGACAAACCACAGGACCTTGGTTTTAAGCCAATTCCAGCCCCATTCCCTTGGCTGTCGATCTTATGTCCCAGTAGTTTAGTCTTTGAGAACTAAGGACATGATGTTCCTCCTTCAGTGCTGGAAACACGGCACACGGCTCTGTTATCATTTCTTTATGATTCAAAGGCCAATGAGACAACTTCAGGATCTTCTTAAGAGAATGTGAGCATTATTGAAGTAGTAAAACAAAAGAAGTTTCAGTATTTTTTTTTTTTCAGTAAAACTTACATCCTTTTGAATAAGTTTTTGCCCTCATGAAGAATCCTCTGGAGGAACATAGGGAAAAACAAATATTTTTCCAGTTCTACTTAACTGTTTCTAAATGTGTTTCTAAACAAAAATAAGCTGGATGAAAGGAAAGCTATTTCTTTTTAGCTGAGATGACAGATTGCTTCTCTGTATTAAATAGTCTAGAAGTTAAGGGGGTGGTCATATTTACCATGTATAGTGTTATGAACAGTTAAATTTTATGGATATATTTGTAAAATTGTTCTTTTATATTTCATGTCAGATTGAAAAGTTTATTTCTTCACTATTGTACCTGTGGAAATACAAGCCATTTTACAGGAAAAAATCTTCAAAAAATATTAAACGGATCTCAGTATGTTTGTGAGTCTTTGTCTTCAGACTCTGTGGTTGTCACTGGGTTCATCAGGACATTCAATAGGAAATTGATACAAAAATACACTTGATTTTTGTATTTCTCAGACTTTTAAGTTAATCCCAAATAATCGAGTTTATTAATTGTTTTATATCTTGCACAATACATATTTAAATCTGGATTCTGAAAATCCCCTAAATTTTTTTTATTAAGGAAATTCTTATGGTGCTTATATTACTGTTTCTTATGCAATTACATCACTGTCAAATAAATCTAACTTCCAGGCAAATTTAACCTGGCTTGTAGACTTAATGGGTTTTCTTCATGATCATTACAGTCATATTGCTACTTTTGTGACAGACTTCATTCACTTTTAATGACATAATAATTATTGTTTGTAAGCCCTCAATCCTTAAACTAATATATCTATCATAAGAAAATATATGTATTTATGACAGTTTTTTCCTTATCACAGTATTCAAGGAGTCAGTATTATTAGGGAAATAGATTTTTCATTTCCAAAAAATGCACATTTAGATAGACTTTTATTTCAGGGGATAAAAGTTCCATACTTTATCACATCTAAGATCCAGTGAATTGTAAGATGTGTTGTAGAAAAATACAGCCAATTACAATTGTAAGATAAATCCCATCTGGCAAGACTGCCAAGACCATTCAGTGGGGACGGAATAGTGTTTTCAACAACTGGAGCTGGAACAACTGGATATCCACATGCAAAAGAATGAAGTTGGACTCCTACTTTGCATAATACACTTTATCATTCAACTTTAGTGTATTACAAAATTAACGATGCCGTGTTGCATTTGCCAAATACAGTTAACAATACTTACAACTTGTTGCAAAGTGTCACTTAAAATAGTAGCTTTAGGCTGGGCATGGTGGCTCACACCTATAAGCCTAGCACTCTGGGAGGCCCAGGCAGGAAGATTCCTTGAGCTCAGGAGTTTGAGACTAACCTGAGCAAGTGTGGGACCCCATCACTACTAAAAATAGAAAAATTAGC